AATATTATGTCCAAGCAATTTCTTTTATCATAGCTTTTCATTTCATGTAGATAGTAGTTACTTCCTTTATCGTCTTCTTTCTAAAGTGTCATATTCAAAATAGACATGACATAATTCGCAACCAATTTTGGAGTGCGGACCCCTCTCCAAAAGTTGACGTTATCCCGTATTTTCCCGTCCCCCTTCTCTTCAAGTTCTCAAAGTAATCCTTGTCTACCTCTGCCTCCTGTGTCTTTTTCTTCCTTACTGTTTTATCACCATTTCTCAATCAACTGTTTCACAGAAAAACAACAACAAAACAACACATTTCTGTCAGCAAACAGGACGATTCATGTGTATGTTTTATTATTGTCTCACCTTGACTGTAATGTTACGATAGAATTACAAAGTCCTATCTTTCATTACAGACCTTTTTGAGTTACAAACAACATGGGGTCAGAAACTACATGTTTTATCTGCCCTATCAAAATCGTAAGATTATCGCGATTTTTTATCAAGATATTCAAAGGATTGTCCTCGAAAAAGCTTTGCATATTGTAACATATTTTTTATGGCAGATTCTCAAAACGAAGAACTGAGCACATTGAGCTTTGTAATTCTAAGGTACTGTATTGGTAATCTCATTCCAGCTCACTTCTCTTCTAACCCCATTATATATCCATCAAAAGAAAACCTTCCAAAAACAACAACAACAACAACAACAAAAACCCCAACAACAACCAACCAACAAACAAATCCAGGGACACCTAAGAGATATCTAGGAGTATCTTTGGAACTGACAAAGAAATAGTTCTAACACATTATATGTCGGTGTGCTTGCCACAGACCCCTTCACCCTGTCTGTCTGTCTGTCTGTCTGTCTGTCTGTCTGTCTGTCTGTCTGTCTGTCTGTCTGTCTGTCTGTCTGTCTGTCTGTCACCTCTCCCTCTACCTCCCTCACTCTTCCATAACCCCCTCCCCTCCCTACCCAATTCTACCTGATACAATTTTATCCACAGGTTGACCCAGGCTACCCCTGTGACATCTACTGGCATAACGACACCTTCCTCGATCAAACCGGCATCATGTCTGGACAGGTCAACCGTTTTCCCGGTCAGTCACATTCCTTTCGTTGAACAATAACGTTTTCCACTCAAGTTACATAAGATAAAAATAAATTCATTATTTTTTTATTTTTTTAAAACTACCACAAATTTTCCGTATCGTGGAAACGGGAGTGTTCACGCACTTCCCACTCCTCACACAGATTTAGCATTCACATATTATTATGATAAGCGTCACTGCTATGGCACTTTTTGGTGGTGAAACCTTAGCACACGTATAAATGAGATCTACTGGTAAATGACAAGTTAAACTGTAAAAAATTTCTGCTCCTACTTTATAAATAATGATGATGATGAGAAATGGTAGACACACAACAGGAAGGTGCCTAGGTTAGAGGCAGTCATTCTTGGATTTATTAGGCTATAATAAGTGAGGCAGCGTGGTGAAATCAGGCGCTCGCCAAAATATTGAAAGGGAAGAAACTGAAACACCTTTCATGCCCATCAAAGAACACATTTCTGTGTGGATTTTACTTAAAAACGTTATTGAAATGCATAAAAGATGTAGATATTTAGAGTCCACGGACTCTCAAGCTAAGGAAATAACGCAACTTCGGCGGCTATTTTCTCGTTAATTACGTCTGAAACCACCTCCTTCATTCGCCAATATCTTGACTTGTACAAAAGATAAATGGACATACAGGGTGATCCCAAAAAATCTTTACAACTTGTTTTTTAAATAACTTCCTCCATACTGAAGTTTTGCGTTTCAGATTTGAACACAACGTTTGGAAGCCAAAAAGAATGTGTCTGATATGTATTTTAGATAAGTCCATTGAATGGTTTGACTCTATACGTCGCATTAAAAAAAAAAAAACATTTTCAACCTTGTCGCCGTTTTCATAGCATCACGCACCAGTTCGCATTGGGCCTACCACTAAAAGTTGCGATAATCGCGCAATATTGCAAGCTATAGCAGTCTAACAAGTCAACAGAAGTCTGCAGATATTATTTTTCCCAAATTTTATTCACCTGCTTAGACCATGGTTACGTTTAGTAAAAAACAGAGCTTTTTGTATAGACCGCAACCATATTAACGCCCGACACCCACAGACGGACCAAACCCGCCGTTTTCCGTCGTGTGCGGCCGACCATATTAACACCGGTTTTTGTCAGTCAGACACCGCCGTCTTGCAAATATGACGTGTAACATAAGAAGAAGATTGTTGTTGTTGCTGCTTTTGAGACGCAGACAAAAAAGGAAAACCAAGACAAGAAGATTTTCAGTGCATCCCGTCCAAAGAAAGCGTGATACACTTGTTGAATTTCATCATTTGTTTCCGCAGTTGTTGGAAGATAGTGAAAAATTCCAACAATACTATCGCATGAAACATAGCAGTTTCAATGAACTGCTAGAGATACGCAGAGCTAACTTGACGATGGAAATATCGAATTTCAAACGGCCTATTTCCCCAGCTGAGCGTCTTAGAGTTACTCAAATTCAAAAAAACAGCTAGAATTCTGTATAGTGTCGTTGGGGCGGGAAAGGGGACACAACTATGCAGAGATAACATCACTAAAATTACCTCCCATTCCGCCCAACGGACCGTCTTCGATAGAACATGTTTTATCGGAGACGGTCTGACCGGGGACGGCACAGGACGTCGGGCGTCAGGCGTCAGTATGGTAGCCGAAACCGTTTTTTTTTTTGTTACCTTCCATTACTAAAAAGTCGTTGGGTATTCTTTTGTGCCCGAAGACTGTCTGGTCTGACCGTCGGTGTCGGGTGTTAATATGGTTGCAGCCTTACTTCTCCACAAACTCACCATCCCTGACATTCCGTAAGTTCTGCGCACGGCATGGAGAGAATGCTTAGGTGCCCTCTAGACATTTGGCGTCCTGAGTAGAGAAGTTCCGTCAGTTTGGATCTATAGCGAATCAGAACTAAAAAGTTCTTCAAAACATGACCACTTCAGGTCGAACACGCACCATGCGCAGCCCTTTAAACGTCACCAGAGTGCAGATTTCAGTAGCTGAGCCCCATGAGACGTCTGTCCGTGGATGATCTGCAGCTAGGACTTTCCTACACATCAATAGTCTGCATTCTCATGGCAGATCTTAACCTAAGACTATACCATTTTCATCTTCGCTAGGCCGAGGTGACATGGATCAGAGCATGGCTATGTGTTCATGATTCCTCGATTGTCTTGTAAAGAGGGATCATTCCTCGATGACATTTGGTTTAGTGCAAAGCCATTTTCACCCTGTGGGATATGTTAACTCCAAAAATGCTGTCTATTGGGCACCGCACTATATTGTCTCTAGAAGCCACTTCTTAGTAAACATGTACAGTGTATGTGGCTTTAAAAACTCATGGCTTAGCAGGTCTTTGTGTTAGGGCGATACTGAACATTTCGAACGACACGTTAAAAATATGTCGAGTCCAAAGGAGGGAATGTGGAGCACTGCTTCTAGGAATTTCAGAATGAAATCATTAGGTTTTTAAAACTCTGTAACAGAATTTAAATATTGTTTAAATGTCGCAGGGATGGAAAATTAATGTCAAAGAGAAAATAAAGTAAAAAGGTCAACTAACCTTTTCACGACTTTCTTTGTAAGATTTTTAAACATTGGTGAACTTTACGTTTTTGGGTGCTTTTTTCTTTTAGCTGTTTCCGTTTTCAAAATATGTTTCTTCCTTGTGGATATTATATCAAACAAATTCCTTTTGAATGAATTATGTCTGTTCCAAATTACAGCATTCTAGAACAATTTTTGCGCGAGATATTCAGAAAAAAAGTTGTAAAGTGTTTTTGGGATCACTCTGTATTTTTCATCAAAAGCAAGGCAAATGGACAGGCTTTAAGATGATACCAGTACCTTCATATGCCCTAAAATTGACAAGCGCCTGATTCCACCTCGTCGTGACAGATATATACCAATAAAAATGTATGGGCACTTTTAGTTTAAATGTACGGTGTACGCCTCTCATCCAGTAGGTCCTGGTTCGAGACCTGAAAGCGAATAAAACATTTTCTTCTCTAAAAATTTCCCCTATCACCTCCTTTCCTGTTGTCTAGTCATGTTCTTTTATTTGCTTCCTTCTCCACTTTACGCCCCCCCCCCCCTTTTAATCTGGGCTCCTGACACTTTCTACTGCAGCCGCTGGCTCTTTCTTACTACTGTCTCTCAACCACAACCCTGATTTAGGGTAAAAGTGAACACCTAGCCTTCTAGATAAAACGTCTTGAAGCTCCCGTGAGTAAGTTGCGGACGTTAAATACCCATTGGTAGTTCTAAAATTGACAAGAGTAGGCATCGGCAAAATTCAAAATCAGTTACTGCCAAAACTGAAAATGCTTAAAGGGAAAGCAACCAAATTGTGTCCTGCGCGTTCATATGACCTTATGCCGCTGTAAGCGCCGTAAAACTTATCAAATACATTTTGAAACCCCCCCCCCCCCCACTAAGAATGAGCAATTCTTCAAACAATCTTTACAGTTTATCAGGGGGCTCTCGTGACCTAGAGGTTAAGGTGTTGGCCTCTCATTCAAAGGTACCGGGTTCGAATCCGGGTAGTGACCGAAAAATTTTCTTCCCTAAATTTGTCTCATTTCACCTCCTTTCCTGCTCTCTAGCAATGTTCTGTCGTCTGTTTTCGTCTCCTCTTTCTGCCCCCACTCCCTCATCTCCTTTTCCCCCCTTCTCTGGGCTCCCGATTCTTTCTACAGCCTTTCTACTGCTACTCCTTGGCTTCCTCTTACTGCTGTCTTTCAGCCACACCCCTGATCTTCTGGTAGGAAAGATCTACACCTATCCCTCTCGGACAAGGGCGAAAAATCTCGGAGGGCCTGTGTGCAAGTTGCGCACGTTAAAGATCCCTTGGTGGTCTAAAATCGATAAGAGTAGGCTTCGGCCGCCACCCGGGCAAAATTTAAATTCATACCAACTGAAAAAGTTAAATGTGTCCCGCGCGCTCATATGACCTTATGCAATTGCGAGCGCCGTAAAACAATTACAAAAACAAAAGAAAAAACAAACAACAGTTTATCACAAACAACTCTCAATGTAACTATTAGAATATAACTTAAAAGTAAAAGGAGTGAATAGTGCAACCCACTCCAGTTTGGTTCTCATGCACTTGTGTCACTAGTTTTGGTTAGAAAAAAAAATAGAATTTATTACATGAGTTTTGGTGGTAGATCATAATTTAAAAAATTATCTGCGAATGATATCGCGGAGTTGTAATCATGAGTTTCAACGTGAAAGTTGTGTTGGGGGAAGGGGATGGGTGAGAATGGGAATGCGGATCAGAAAGAGTTGTGTTTTCTCGCACCTTTGACGGCAAGCGTGAGAAATTTTTTGCGTTATTTCTAAGACTTCAAGGAATTACTATTTTTGAGTGTCCATTTTCGCATTAAGTAATACTATTTTTTAAAAGTTTGGTTTTGCTCGTCCAAATCGTCATAAAATGTACAATTCCTTTTTGGACCGATGCTTTGCACTTCATTTGGGCGCCCTTGAAGAGAACGCGTCGCTGTGAAGTTTTTATAGAGGTGAAAGTGCGGCTGCCATAACTTTGTACGGTCTAGGAATACAATTCAAAGCTGTATTGGCTTGCTTAAAGCTATACAGGGACTAGAGTGCGCAGGGTAATTGATGTGAATTTTTGTTACAGCCGATATTTTGCGCATGAAATAGATAACAATAAATTCTTACGTGAAATATAAGGATTTATTTGACATTATGTGTTTTATTTCACCGGAGGTGCAACGCTAAATCAACTCTATGAATGATATAAAAATGTAGTCATTCATGGTCACAAAAATATTTTTATAGTCGAAACTTTTTAAGCACTATAAGCTGTCTAGACATGCGTTCAATAGGCATGTCGAGATTAAATAAATGGCAGACTTGCTTTTAAATGTGATGTTCGCCCTTTGCTGGCGGAGTTGACCGTGACTTCATATCACAGAGGTGGTGGGGTGTGTGAGGAGATGGCTGACCAGGACGATCTTTGCCCGCAAATGTCTGTGGCAGTAGGGACGGGGGATGTTTTGAGCTGAACTATACTGGGAGGTAGGGCTCTCTCGTTTTTTTCTCAACTGTCGTCACTTTTCTTTGTGAGACGTCTCTGGGGCGTCTCTGAGGCGTCTTTGTTCGAACTTAACGACTCCAGATCATACCAAGGAGTGCCAAACTGTGCGATCACAAGCAGCTTCTTCCCAGGTGGTAAAGGGAATGTCATATCGCTTCTCTAATGATTTAATTGCATTTTGAAGCGTTTTTTTCTGTCCCCTGAGAGAGCTTTTACGTAGCGTCACCTCATTGAGAGGCGATAGTCGTCCATGCAGTGAACGTGTCTGGCCTGTCGGAACTCGGAACACAGTAGGATAGGGTAGATGCTCTCTATCTCCGCCCACTGGAGCCCCTGAGTGTCTTGGAGCATCTCAAATGGAAGGTATTGAGCTGCTTGGCATGCCGACTTTAGAATGTCCACGTTTCGCATGCGTAGATAAGGGATGGCATGAGGCAAAAAACAACTGAGAACTGACCAAATTATGTATTTTTTGTATGTGTTTCAGGATCTCGAGAGATCTGTCAGAAGGTTAATCTCTGCCGATGGCTTATACAAATGCAGTCTCTTTATCCGGAGGAATTCAACTTCAGTCCCAAAACGTATCTACTACCGGAGCAGTATGAAGAATTCGCCGCTGAGGTAAGACCACGAACTTTGAACACATACATACATACATACATACATACATACATACATACATACATACATACATACATACATACATACATACATACATACATACATACATACATACATACTCCC